CGGGCTGGCGCCGTGGCTGGGGACTGAGAGGGCCTCACGGTGCTGTTACCGGTTCCAGTCCCAGCCAAGCTTGGCAGCTGGGGCTGTGAGAGTGCCCGGGAGCACTCGAGGAGCAGCCGGTGCCCTCCTTATCAGTACTCGCACCCTGGGGTGTTCCAGCCCTGAGGCGCTGGCCCATGTTTTTGTGTGCTGCCGACAGTTAGTTGGCCGAGGTAGAAGGTGTCTGGTAGCCAGGCGAACTGACAGCACACGACCAAGCTGAAGGAAATGCCTGGCTAAGTATTGACTAGCATCTTAAGCACATCCTTCAAGGTACGTGAGTCCACCACGTGTCCCTGCTTGTCCTCCCATGTCACCTCTCCGTGTGCGTTAGCGAGTCTGCCTGCAGAGCTACGTAGGCTTCAGCCTTGAGGAGAGAACTTCGGTTGCCATTGATGCAGCACTCAAGCCTGCTCCAGCTGTGAGCTGCGCTGCTAACGATGCTGGAGGACAAGGTCTCTGATGAAGGCAGTGGTGGTCAGTGACAGTTTTCAGACATGATGAACCTATCTGCCAACTAAGAATCTGCATTCTGCCAAAGACTTGATGAGATTTTTCAGAGGCTGCCGAGTTAAATAAGTTTTATTTATTGCAATATGAGGCAATTCATAATTTTCTTACACCATTACCAGCACCTTATTTTGTTAATTTCTGCCGAGCCTCTTTTTCAGTACCCTTTTTTTACCTCTGAAGGAAAGAGAGAAGGTAAAAGTTCAGTTCCTCTTCTGTGTTGCTTCTTTCCTAAGAAAGTGAAAGTGCTCCATGTTTTGGTTTTGCTGTGGTCATCTAAAAGACTGTTGTGAGGTTTCATGTGTGACTTTCAGTTCTGGGTTGTTTTGTTGGATAGGGTTTTTTTTTTAGTATTTCTACAGTGCTTTCCAAGATGCTGTATTTTGTCAAAGATGTAGCACCATTTTGTAGTTTATTCCTATGCTGTGTAGTTTTGCTTCCTTTGAGTTATTGCTGGTGTTTTCAGCACAGATTTTCTAGAAGTACAGTTTTTATCCAATCAGAGGTAACCACTGATACGACTGTAAACACGAATTACTCTTAAAGAATATTCAGGGGTTTTTCTTTTTAAACAAGTGAAAGCATTTTTCCCTCCCTCTTTCATGCAGGTTGTGCCCTTAATTTTGAAAGACCTGGAAGGTCTGTTCGGTACATCTCCTGGCTGTGTAGCTTTTTTCTTTGTCAAGTGAGATCATGTATTTACGGGTTTTGCCTTATCTGAGTTTTTTAGTGGTCTCCCACATGTCTCAGTTAAAATGGACTTTCACAAAAATGGTGGAATAATTTTTAGTGGGGATAAATATGTTTTCCTGAATTTATATACTTTGCTGAAAAGTGTTAATCAGAGAGATGCAGTTGTTGGCAAACAACTGTCACTTTCATGTCAGGTAAAAAAAAAAGTGAAAACCAGTAATTATTGTTGCTTCATCAGCTTTTAGGGCTGATTATTTGACCTCTTATTAAAACAGTAGTGGAAATTCTCCTGTGAATAGTTCATGAACAGTTATGGTCCTGCTCACATAGAAAATCACATGTTCTTTTTGTACTTTGATATATATGAAAAGCAGGTTGGAAAGCCCAGTACTTTCTCGTGTTCCTCCTTGCACTGTATCACATGCTTGCTTTTTCTTTTGTCACCCTTTGCTTTTGTTTGAATTTCTAGTACACTTCCTTGTCCGAGATACAATGCAGCACTTGAGAAATTATTGTCTTGTTTTAATTAGACAGTTCCTATCCCTTGCATTTCCAAAAAGTAGCAAATGTCAGTGCATAAGCACTATAAAACAAATAGCCTAAGACAAATCACTCTCCATTCAAGTTAAACTTTTATTCCAGGGAGAATTTTTTTTTTTTAGTGGCAGTGCCTCCATTCTCTCAGCTATGTTATACAAACTTTTGTATAAGAATGGAACAAACGTTAATATTGTTACAAAGCTCTTGCATTTAGAGTAAAAGATGGCGAAAAGATACAACAATGAGATAAGCAGTCATTTGAAATCAGTGGCTGTGGAAAGCAGAAAGAAGTTAGCAGAAGGCTTTGGTTTTGGTCCATCTTCAAGATTCACATGTGGAGAGAAATCTGAGAGGTAACTGAAGATGAGATTTGGATGCTGTCAATGGTTGGCATTGACCTGGAAGGGAGAAGTACAGTTGCTTGATTAAGAAAATAGAAGGGTTTTGGCAAGAGATGCAGTGCAGAGGGCTGTGGTCACGAGATGGTTTTGCGGTGGTGAGAGCAGTCACAAGCATTGGGAGCGTGCGGAGGAATGCAAGGCGGAAAGAGCCCTGCTGTGAGAAGGTGAGGTCAGGGTGGTGGAGTGGGAGGTGGTCTATGGCAGGAAGACAGATCAGTCAGCAACGGTAGTAATAGCGAATAAACCTGCAGTTTAGCCTTTTGATTCTTACATTGAACTGAAATTTGGGAACCTTGTTGCTGCAGCATGGGATGTGTTTTGGCCTGTGTCAAAGTGAGCTGGGACAGATCGGGGACAAGGAGTCTTTGACAGGCAGGTTTTTCTGCTCTCTTTGGTAAGCTGAAAAGACAGTTTTATGCAGTTGCATATTCTGATTACAAGTGGCTCTTTGTTGAGGTACGCTATACTCAAGCATCACTGCTTGCCAGTAGTTCGATTAACAAGTATCAATGCATTATAAACAGCTTTTTATATTTGTGTAGGTGCTAAAAATGCAGAAGCCACGTTGGAAAATGCAAAAGTGAAAGTAACAACCTTAAGGAAAGATTCAAAATTAAATCCAAGTTGAGTTTGAACAAGTGAGCAGTGAGTTCTTCTGGCCTGAACTTCAGAAGTGGTTATTGAGACTGTGAAAGCATAGGTGTGTATGGATGCTTGAATACATTAGCTTAGAATATGGAATAAATAAGTTTTGCCTTTGTAATCGCTGTTGCACAACAGTAAGGATACAGCTTTGTTTTGGAAGGCACAGAAAGATTACAAAACATGCAAGAAGGTCTTAAAACAAATCTGTATCATTCTTGCTTTCTCATACCAATATCTTGTTGGGACTTGAAGAGAACCTTCCAAAACAGGCGTAAGTATAGCCTTGAAGTAGCTAATAAACTTCCTTGCTACGTTTGAAAAGGTGAAAACAGCTAGTTTGTAGTTATTGATGTATTTTAATGTTGAAATTGTACGTTACTCAATCTGCCTGTTTTTAGAAGTGACATTCTTTCACAGAGAAATGCCTTAGCATGCAAGAACACCACTTATTCTTGCTAGAGAAAATACCTCTGATTTAAAGCTATACATAATCTTGTTGTGTGTGTGTGAAAATAAGATGGCTGTAGACTGCAGTTTCTGTTGGAAGTCAGGAGGTGCCCCTAATGTGTTCTGGAAGGGATGCCACTGACACGAGTATTTTGTTCAGGGGCAGTGCTGGTGCAGGTTCCTG